CTGGTGCTGACGGTCACGCGCGCCGCGGGACGCGAAGCCCCTCGGGTTGGACGCCAAGGTGGGACCGGGCCTGACCTGCTGTCCCTGGCTTGGCGCCTCTCTCTGTGGCCGGGGTGAACTTCCACCCTGCCTCTCCTGAATCGGGTGGTGTGTGTTTGGGAAATGACTCTCGCCTGCTGGACGCGGCGGTGGACAGCAGACTCGGTGGACGGCTACAAGCCAGGGCTCTCTTCCCCGTAACAGTGTGTAATTGCAAGAATTTATCCCCATAAATGTGGCATGGATACTATCCTAGCATCGACGGTGGAATTTTAGTCTAAAAAGAGCTCTCCTGAAAATTTGAAAATGCTATTTTTTTTTACAAGGTCTCACTACGTAGTTCAGGGGCTGGCGAACGCGCATCGATCCTCCTGCCTCAGCCTACCCGGTGCTGGAATGACAGGCTTGTGCAGCCACATCCGACCCGAAACTGCTAGTTTTTAAAAGCACGAATTTGTTACTATTTTCTTAGTTTTAAGAATGGCAATGAATGCATCTTTTAATGGGAGAATGTTAACAGTTTGACCAATAAAGTGAAATTCTTTAAAACTGTCTTGTAGAGGCAGAGCCCCTGTCCAGCGCGGTGACAGCTCCGCCCAGCACAGGCAAGGTTCTGAGGTGTCACACGGCCAGGCTTTGGAACAGAAACCTTCAAGCCAATCAACAATTGTGCAGTTTTATTTAACAAAATTATGGAAAAGTTCACTTTTTCAAATATTTGACTACTGAATGATATCCAAACAGTCCCTGAGGTGGGAAATTGAAGCTTAATCATAGCTTTAGTTTTGTGGGGGAGGAGTCATAGTAAGATTTTTAGAAAAGATTCAGCTACCCATAAAGCTTCTTGGATAACATTTTCCTAATAATAAGTTTGAAAAAGTCAAAAGAATTTGTGACATTATTTGTGCTTTCATTAATATAAGCATCAAAATTCATTTCAATACCCATGTTACTGTGCCATATTACAATGGCTACATAGTTGTCCGGGACATTTTCTAACTTTAGAATTGGGGTCAGTATTCATAACTGATTTATTTTGGCGATGTTGATTTTTTTCTAATAGATGCTTGGTATCTGCCCAAGCCAGTGAAATAGCCCTGCGGTTTTCTCAGGGTAGCCATGCCAGGCAGAGCACTAGGCAGCAAGAAGGACCTGTGTGACCCAGGTGGCACTGACCCAACTGCAGAGATGGTGATGCTGCACAGGTAGCTTCACGAAGAACCAAAGGAAATTGGGGGTATAACTCAGTGGTAGAGCACGTGCTTAGCATGCACAAGGTCCTGGGTTCAATCCCCAGTACCTCCACTTCTTTTTCTTAAACACTGGGAGCTCCTTTTGTGTAGAAAACTGGGAGATCTGCTGGGCCTCTGTGGCAGGTAAGTTCCTGAGAAACCTGGGAATAGCAGTAGTTCGTGTCAGCTGGTTACTTTTGATCACCTTAGGGAATCTTCTGACTCCAACAGTAATGATTACATAACAACAAAAGACCAGATAAGAAACAAAATCAGCAGAGTTTTAGTCCTCTTAATTTACAGTAACTAAATGTTAATTTTGTTTCTTATTTAGTTTTTAGTCTTTTTCTTAGTGGTTTGTATTCCAGGTATCAGTCCTTGAAATAGCTTGAGTAACAGTGCATTGAAATAGCTTCTTACAGTCTGTGGCTCATCCACTGTAACGGAGGAGGAGGCCCGAAGCTTGTAAACTGAAGGAAGATAGGGGGCGGCAAGAGGCTGAAGTCAGGGGGCAGTTCTGCCCAGAGGTCTTTTCTTGGTGGTTGGAGAAAATGACCCAGGACAATGGAAGAGGGAACATGGGACAGATGAACGGGGAGAGACGTTCCAGGAGCCGATGATTCTGTTGCATTTCCCTCAGTGTGGCAGCTAAGAGGACACAGTTTGGAAACAGTGGGGTATAAGACAGTGGATTTTCTATCTGGCCAACAATCACATCTTCAGTCATCATCAGAAATCTGGCTAATACTTCAAGGAGGGTCTTCGTGGCATTCATCTGTAAGAGAGTATGTCCTTCCCTCGTGACAGGGCTCAATGCCGTACATGTTCTTCTGCCTCTCATGGCTTCAACAAGGCCTACATTTCTCCGTCTAGGACCCACATTTTGGCCAGTGAGGCAGAAATAAGCACAGTTGATCTCAGTCCACTCCCTGGGTCTGTGCAACCTCCCAACCCGTGAGCACCAAGAGGACCAGAAAAACAGGAGGACAGGGAGAAGAATGGGAAGATCAGGAGGAGAACAGGAAGACCTGGAGGAGACAGGAGAATGTGGAAAACAGGAGGACATGAAGAACAGGAAGACTGGGTGGCAGACACTGAAGACAATGGAGCTAAAACAGCGTGACTCTTGCCATCTCTCCTCACCACCCCTCCTGCTCTGCCCTGCACCCACCCCATCAAAGTGGCTCCATTTTGGTTGGATTTCAGTAAATCCAAGTCTGGAGGGGAGGGGGAGGGTGTGTGATATGGAACAAAACAAAAGTAGAAGTTGAGAAGCACGCTGGCCCTGAAGTGCCAGTTTTAATACTCTGGAAAAATTCTTGAGAGGAGCACTCAGGCAGCTGGAATAGCTCAGTTGGGAGAGCCTTAGGGCAAAGACCTAAGGGTCCCTGGTTCTATCCTGGGCCTCCGTAGGTTCCTGTTAGTTTTTGTGTAATTATTGTCCCACAAATCAAATCAAGATCCCTCTGAGACATTCCAGGAAGTGGCAGGGACATAGTGCATTTATAAAAAGAGTTTTAAAACCTAGGAAATTATTAGTTTTAAAACCTAAGAAATTCTAATATACTGTACTGTGTGCTGCTACACTTACAGTTCATTTCTACTTGTGTGTGTATGAGGGGAACGGGTGCTTTAGTCACAAGAAATGTGAAGGAAGAATTGGGTAGAAATCACATGGAAAGTTAAAAAAAGAATGTCACTGTGTGAGTCTGTGGGTGTGGCTGGCACCAGAGCAATTTGGGTTTGACTCCATTGTTAAACCTGGGATAAGGAAAACTGTTGAATATTACTGAACTTTTAAACAGTTACAAGAACATCATGGTAGAGTCCTGAGTTCGACTGTCGGTACCGAAGAAAAAGAACCACATGGTTTTCTTGTTGACATTTCCTCAATCTTGCACCTATATCTAGAATTTGCAGATCTTTGCTTATTTCTCTTTTGGTGTCCAGGAAACAAGTGCTTCTGCATGAATTATTCTGTCAAGCAATCATGAAGGGGCCTCAAAGACTGAAGCTGAAAGCAGACGGCCAGCACCGAGGCTGAGCTGAACCGGCCCAGGTCTTAGAAGGGCACTTGTGTGGACGCAGTAGCCACAGACCACACTTCAGCGCAGTGGCTGGGGGCTCCAGGCGGCATGGAGCCTGGCACTCTTCTGTGGACTGCGGTGCCAGCCAGAACTGTGATATGACTCCTGTGATGCTGATTCTTTCTTTCCTTTTTGTTTCCTGGCCTAAACAACAGAAATTTATTTTCTCATTATTCTAGCCACTAGATGTCCAAGAACAAGGTGTCAGCAGGGTTGATTTCTTCCAAGGTGTCTCAGCTTATAGATGACCATCTCCCTATATTCTTACTTGGTCATCTTTCTGTGGATATCCACACCCTAGCCTCTTCTTACAAGGATGATTATACTGTATTACAGCCCACCCTAATGGTAAGCTCATCTTACCTGATTAAAGACTCTATCCCCAAATACACTACTGGGGCCTAGTACCTCACCCATAAAAACGTAACAAAATGAAGGCCTTCCTCTTCATTTCCTCAGACCTGAGGTCCAGACCTTGTTGAAGCGAGCACATGGACGGCTTGCAAGACGGCAGAGAAGTCACTGTGCCGCTGTACCAGTGGGACTCGCTGGAGATTTGTCCTCTAGAAGGTTCTGGAAGTCTACCCTCTCAGTGCCAAAGACAGCAGTTCCTGCAGAAGTGTATCTGGTGAAGCCCGTACACCTGTATTTGCTCTCCCTCTGGGGGCATCATCTCAGGCCTGGACCTCGCCATGGCTTCGTCGGTGGCCGCAGGTGACATGGGTCATGCAGGAGCAGCAGGCTCATCATCCTCAGCGGGGTGCTATCCCTGGTCTCCAAGGTGTTGGTGGTCCCACCAGTGTGACCCATGGTCGCACATTCCAGGAAGGCAACCACAAGGTTTCATTACCACCAGTGTCCTTCATCCGGGTCCAGAAGTCATCCTGGGAGACCCGAGGAGCTGTCTCTTTTATTCCAAGTTTGTCTCACAGGAGAGTTCACAGATGGATCTGATTTGCATCCACATCAGTGCCAAATGTAGGGGACATGGAAAGGGGTCATAACTAGAACCTCTGTAGTAAGGCCTAGTCTCCTGTGAGCCCCGACAGCACAAGGTGAGTTACTACATAGACAGAAGTGAGATTAGAGAAACACTGGTCTTGGGTCTGATCAGTGTTGTTCTGGGCAGCAAAGACAGCGGTGCTGTTTCTAATGGTGACACATAAAACACAGGTATGCTAACTTTAACAATATACTTAAGTCACCTAGGCTATCTGAAATATTGCTTCAACAAGTGACTGATCTTAGTTGTTGAGATAATGAATACTTTAAAATCAGTCGTCTTCATTGTAAGGCTGTGGCTTGCTTAGTTTATCCACGGCTTTGGGTTTGAGCCACAGCATTGGGACAAAATTTCTAGAAATCATTATTTTAAGCAAATCTGGTCTCTATTTTGTATTTGAAGCACCTCTCATAAATGTCTTTTTTTTTTTTTTTTTTTT